AGGTATGGCGTGAATACGTGAATTACCTTTCGGCCAACACATTGTTGGCCAGCCGCCTCTTACGTAGGTCAGAAAGCTTTGAGGGCGTAAATGTCTTACAGACTGGCAAAGCGGAACTCCTAATTTTAGCTCGTGTGGTCAGTGTAAACAACATCGCTGGGCATACTCACAGGAGTGCTTTGATCAGTAGCGAATGTCTAAGTTGGTCACGCTAATTTTAGGCTGTGGGAATATCCAGTACAGTTGCGCTTGTCAACTGTGACGGTTCACCAATATCGGTCACATTTGCGTGAGCAACGTTGAATAACTGGCATCGGGGTAGTTAATGCACATTCCACTACGGTCGTGCCGTTGAGTACGAGTTTAAACAATTCGATTCTATTTCTGCGCATGGCGACATGTTCAGGAGCTGAACGCGAGCCACGAGACAGTTCTTAAGTCTAGTTGTGTTATTCCTCCATTGAAGTAGCAGTCGTTTACTACGTGGTGGTTTACTCTGTGGTGGTCTACCGCGTGGTGGTTTACTAAGTGGTGGTCTACTAAGTGGTGGTCTACTAAGTGGTGGTCTACCGCGTGGTGGTCTACTAAGTGGTGGTCTACTAAGTGGTGGTCTACTAAGTGGTGGTCTACCGCGTGGTGGTCTACTAAGTGGTGGTCTACCAGTGTGGTGGTGTACCACGTGGTGGTTTAGGTTGTAGGGCCACATTCATACTGTGGACTGAAACAATTGGAATGCTTCTCCCCATTCGCCACCACCTCCGTTCACCACCCATGTCCACCCAGCAGTGTGAAGTACGGTACAGCCACGGGCTGTCAATCGGCAGGTTCCACGTGCAGTGGGTTAAAGTGTGGCTACTTCGAAGACGTCCGGCCAACGTGGAAGAGTAAGCCAAGGAGCTCCCTCTAGTGGAAGGCCCCTTCTGCCAGCAGTGGCATTAGTGAAATTTACAGGACTGCACCTTTACATTTGTAATTACTGCTATATTAAGAGGGTAAAATACACAATGTAGTTTGTTTATTCATTGATACGTCTGTTGTTGTTTTTTATCTGCTCCGTAATCCTTTTTTCATATATTTTATCCGTATAAAAGTGTACCCTTTGTTTCAGAGCTTTTGGGGTGTCGGGTTATGGTGTCTCACAGACTTCATTGTGTGCAGTGAAACCCCGAACCAGCTGGGCGACAACCAAAGTCTCGATGCTTAGTGAAGCTTTCCTGGATAAAATAAGGATTAAAATTAATAGTATTAACAACTTAGCAACCGTTAAATAAGAAAAAAAAACACATTCTTCCCATACTTAAATATGTAATAGATTGTTTTTCACGAGGGTTCTTGTTTTGGATGATTGGTGACCCGCCGAACGAATATTCCGGTTCCCGAACGAATACATTAGGAGGTCGCACTCAAAATACACAAAGCGCTTGCCACAAATTAAGCACAACACCTTACTGATCTCGTCAAGGAGCATAAACCATCACAGGAACTCCGGTCATCCTCGCAGCAGCAGCTTTTGGCCAGCCATCGAACAAAGACGGTCACTGCATTGTGCCCTTTCAGATGCGTTTCTGCGGCCGTCTGGAACGCTCTTCCTTTCGATATTAGGAAGCCAGTGCAGTTATGCACTTTTATATCTAGACTAGCTGTACTACCCGGCTTCGCCCGGGACTTGTATCTACCACGGCCGGCCGCCTTTGTCTCCCCAGTGGCGATGTTAATACGCTACAGCAGTTACTCGTTTGAGGCAGAGTCGACCTAGGGGAGGTTCAAATAATCGTCACCGGTGGTGGCCGTGAGCGGGAATCGAACTGGGTTTGCCGTGTTGGTAGCGCAGCGTAGCGTTAAGCACTACACCCACCGCTCCTCACACACCACACACGCACACACACAGACACACACACAGACACACAGACACAGACACAGGCAGCACGCTAAGCACTACACTACCGTTCCCCCTACACAACACACGCGCGCGCGTCCATAGGTACACATACACGCGCTTGCTGCAGACACACACGACTTTCAGGGTGCGTACGGCAGTAAACGACTGAAATAATAAAGCGGCAATGCTGTGTAAGGAACGCCTTAGACCCGCATTACACATTTGTGTAATGCGAACACACACCACGACATACCACACACTACAGACACAGATCAGACATAAAACATACAAAACACCACATACATACACACACAACATACACACATACACATGATCACCTGCATACGACACACAGACATACATAACACATACACACGACCCGCGCTTAGCCCGGACTTGGATCTACCGCCCGGCGCCTTTGTCTCCCCAGTGCCGATGTTAATACGCAACACCAGTTACTCGTTTGAGGCTGAGTCGACCTAGGGGAGGTTCAAAATAATCGTCACCGGTGGTGGCCGTGAGCGGAACGAACGCTGTCGCCGGGTGTAGCGCAGGTACGTAAGCACTACACCCACGCTCCTCACACAACAACAGCACAGACACACACACAGAACAACACAGACACCGCGACACACACAGACAGAACAGACAGACACACACACACACAGGACAAACAGGACAGCACGCAAGCACTACAACTATCGCTCCCACACACCACAAACGCACACACAACAGAACAAAACACAGACACACACACACAGACACAGACAGCACGCTAAGCACTACACTACCGTTCCCCCTACACAACACACGCGCGCGCGTCCATAGGAACACATACACGCGCTTGCTGCAGACACACACGACTTTCAGGGTGCGCACGGCAGTAAACGACTGCAATAATAAAGCGGCAATGCTGTGCGAGGAACGCCTTAGACCCGCATACACATTTGTGTAATGCGAGCGTAAACACACAAAGACATACAAACACATACACACACACATACACACAAACACATACACACACATACACACACATACATACACACAGACATACACATACACACAACACACACATACATACACACAAACACATACACAATACACACAGACATACATGCAGACACAGACAGACACATAACACACATACATACACACAGATACATACACAAAAACACATACACACACATACATAGACACACACATACATACACACAAAGACATGCACACACGTACATACACACATACATAGAGACACGCAGACATACACATAAAGACATAAAAAAACCCACATACATACACACACACATACACACAAACACATACATACACATACATACACACATACATAGAGACACACAGACATACACATAAACACAAACACACATACACATGACCCGGCTTCGCCCGGGACTTGGATCCACGATGCCCCGCCGCCTTTGTCTCCCCAGTGACGATGTTCACACACGACAGCAGTTACGCGTTTGAGGCTGAGTGGACCTAGGGGAGGGCCAGGTCCGTTTCAAATAATCGTCAGCGGTGGTGGGCGTGAGTTGGAATCGAACTGGGGTCGCTCAAGCAGCTTAATGACTGTTTGTACAAAGAACATATAAAGAATCGATTATAATAACCAGGCAAGAGTCCACATTATAGACTAGACTGCCAGTACACGCAGTCAGCTTCATAAGCAGGCTAGAGTGTACATGATAGAGTGGCAGTACGCTCACCGAGCTTAATAAGCAGGCTACAGTGTACATGATAGAGTGGCAGTACGCTCACCCAGCTTAATGAGTATTTGTACAGTGAACATTAAAGTAATCGATTGTTGGCGCGTTGGGTTTAAAAGTAATATTAATAGCACACATTGTGGTGGGGGTGTAGTGAAGAGTAGGAAAAACTTTGATGAATTTACCTCAGAGTGGCGTGGTGGGTGTCGAGGCCTAGTAGCGTGCAAAGCCTGCGGCCTCGCCTAAAATTGTCGGCTTGGAAGAGGCAGGGTACGGGTGGCGTTCCTTCCCCCCCCCCTCAGCGCTCCAACAATACTGTGTAATGGCTATTATTTAATTAAATACGGAGCTTATGAAAGTGGCGAAGGCGTGGCTAGCCGTTGGCAGGGGCAACCTGCCGTCCAATGAAACTGCAGCCCTTGGCGAAGGCGTCGCTAGCCGTTGCCAGGTCCAATGAAAGCGGCGAAGGCGTGGCTAGCCGTTGCCAGGGGCAACCGCCGTCCAATGAAAGTGCGTATGGGCCGAAATACACACACACACACAGACAGACAGACAGACATGAACGATTTTATATATATAGATTGAAACTTATTTCTTCAAGACTGCTTTTTGTGTTTAGTTTGTTGTCCTTCCCCCGCAGCTCTGATTAGCGCGGCTGGCTACGTACGGTGTGAAAGAAATTGAACATATGTATATACCTACATACGGCACCACAACGTGGCTCGGGCAGGGCTATTCACTGTAAGGGAATGAGAACCAATGTCCGAGAATAATGACGTGGGAGTGGAATCCAAGGTAGGGAATGCGTCTGACCTGCCGGGGAGACGGAGCGATGAATTATCTTCCGTGTGCAGCCGTTTAAATGAGCACTGAATGTTGATTCTGGTGCATAGCTCGCTGGCGTTGAACTATTCCGCACCTGCCAATTGCCAAGGTTGGCTACGTACGGTGTGAAAGAAGTTCAACATTCGTGAATCTATAGGACCTTTTTTTTGCCAGTATCAAAATCTATGAAAATAGATAGATATCTATTGCCTTGCATATGTGTAACCAACACACGTCTCTCAATCAGTATATATTTGGTTTTTGAACACCTCAGCACCTGTTTTATTGCCAGAAAGGCTAAAGCCTCTTCTCGTATTATTGACGCTGAATTTACACTCCCCCAGAAGGCCGTGCAGCTGACGGGATGTGTCAAAAATGTGCCCTTATTTTTCGCACGTTGACGGAGGATTTGCCTGAACGAGTCCAAACAAGCGCCGCTCAAATGAAACACCGTTGGTCAGATGCGCCGGTCACACCGCGGTGAGGTCCGTTCGTTCGGCGGCCCGTCACATCGCCGCGCCGGTTCACTCTGCCTCCGTTGTTGGGCTCCCGCCCCACCCGCCCCGCCGCAGACTCGATGCACATCGAGGACGTGGAGGGCGTGCAGAAGCTGCAGGACGTCCTGCACGAGGCCCTGCAGGAGCTCCAGGGCAGCCAGCACGCCGAGGACCCGCGGCGCGCCGGCAAGCTGCTCATGACGCTGCCGCTGCTGCGGCAGACGGCGACGCGCGCCGTGCAGCACTTCTACTCCGTCAAGCTGGAGGGCAAGGTGCCCATGCACAAACTATTCCTGGAGATGCTGGAGGCCAAGGTGTGACCCCCACCTCCCCCCCCCCCGCCCCCGCCGCCCCCCCCCCCCCACCACCTGCCCGACAACAACGACAGCAGCAAACAACAACAACAACAACAATACGCACGCCTTTGTCTCGACACTGGAGGAGAAGAAGAAAAAAACAAGCTGCTGTGCACGTGCGTGTATGTACGTGTGTATGTATAGACTGCGCGTCGCACATACGCGTGTCCACGTTTGTATCGTTAACAATGTATACCTGTGTGTTGGTACACACAAACGCACACGCAGCACACGCGTAAGGTGTGGTGAATAACGAAAAGCAACGGTATATGTAATCGCGTTTCAGGTCTTCCAGCGGAAATAACAATAATCAAAGATTACAAACTCGTTGAACATATATATATAAATTGACATTCTTGGGATGCTTAGTCCGCTGTTAATGAAATTAAGGTTCTTTGAGTCACCAAAGTGGCTGATGTGGTAATGGAACAGCGCAAGCGTCGATCAAGCCCGAGGAATATCTCCCGTAGCAGTGGACATCCTGCGAAATGCCGAGAGCCGCCCCCTTGGGATCGTCGCGCTGAAAGAGCTTCCTCATCTGGACTGGTGATGAAGAAGAAAAAGAAGAAAACAAAACAACTGATGCGAGGAACTTATTTGTCCGTAAGATCCACGATCGGATCTGACATTTTACAGATCCGTGAAGAAGTTGGAAGGGGGTCGGGGTGGGGGCTGTTTGCTGTCGGCCGTGACCTTTTGAACCCGGACCTACAACAGGAGGCACACATGTCACCGTTTTGTAACACTCCGCCAAGAAAGGTGTTGGCACGTTTCAGTCGTCCCCGTTACCAAGTGAACACTACTCTTCTGTCAAAGAATAAGACGAGAATCGTAATAATAATGGGGGAGGGAAAAAATGTGACAGGAATACCAATAGGAACAAAACAAATCGAGGGCTTTTTCTGAGCCACAATGTTGATTGCAGATCAGAGGTCGCAACCGGATACCCGATACCCGTACCCTACCCGATACCCGGCTACCCGTACTCGGCCGGGTACGGGTACGGGTAGCCGTTTGCGACCCTGGTGCGGCCGGGTACGGGTAAGGAATCAAAACCCGTTAGCGACCTCTGTTGCAGATTAATCCAGCAAGCCCTTTGTGAACATCTGAAATTAAATAACTTACGATCCACATGTGCTTCACTCGCACGTCAAAGTCTCGCCATGGCTCCAAGAAAAGCACACGAGCTGACACAAAATACGTTTGCAATTAATTAGCGAAATGACACGTGACCCTTTTGTCCTCGGAGAATGATACGTTCAACTTTAAATACACACGTATATATACCTTCAAACTAATCTTTATACGCAATATGGTTGGTTATAAAACTAAAAAGTTTTCATGTAAATATTACCAAAAATATTTACCGTTATTATGATATTCGATTTGAAATTGTCCCATCGTTGCCGGTTTTGTGGTACACTTGAATCGAGTAAGTCCAGTTGTGAATTTACACACAAAAATTGCTTATAGTAGAAACTCCCATTCCACCACTGTTTAGGCCACTGTGCGATTCCGGATCACAATTGGTTGTATGCCTTACATGGCACTTGTTTTAGTTTTTAATTTGGTTCAATTAACTATTTTGTGTATGTTTTGTTTATGGAGAGAGCACACGTTGATTTATATATATATACGAGGGGTGGTACAGAACGTCCTGAGCCTAACATACACACAAAGGACATCATCCAATAAGAGCCACCCTCGATAACAAATGCACGTTTCATATCGTCTCCTAAAGACGCTTTTATTCCCTCCGTAAACAACGTTTCAGGTTTCTCTGTACAGTCTCCATTCAGCTCGTCGTGATCACAATCATCATCATCATCATCACCATCATCGTCATCGTCAAGCATCCTTATCATCATCGCTGTCGTAAGTGTCACCCTCACAGTCATCGCTATCATCACCACCATCGGCATCGTGTGGCAGTCGGTGGGTGCCGGGTCCGGTGAATAGCGAGGCAGCTCCTCGAATGGGCGATCCTTGATGGCAGCCGTTGTTGACGCTCTCTCGGCGTGTGCTGAGGCACTGTCCTGCAGAAGCCAAGGAGGTTTTCTGTCATTGACTCTTACAGCCGATCAAAGCGAGCACGCGTCACAGTTGCGGCCTGTGATCATCCACGCGCGCGGAAATAAGTCAATACGCACCGCACATTTGGAACTCTGAAGCACGGCGCTTATGATCTTGCCTGCATAGCACTCCGACTTGAATATCGTGAGCATTGGAGAGATTGAGTTGGGGCCTGCGGTTGTTGCCGACCGTCATAGTGGGAGAATGGGCACCGCTGCATAGACTTGTAAATCCAGGACTCCTCACCGGTAATAAGTCACCGCTTAAACTCGGTCCAGTCTGCCTTCATTAAGTCAGGATTGTCACGGCAAGTTGTCAGTTGTGTCCGTTTGTTGGCCAAGTGCCAGCGTTCTGGAGACCCAAAGTGCACACATCCTGATCGTGCCCAAGTGATGGTGCCAGATCTTTTCCACTGATCCCACACTATTGCCCAAAGCAACCATCGAACAAATGCGGCCACCGCATCGCGTGCTTTCAGATGCGCTTCTGCGGCCGCCTGGAACGCTCTTCCTTCCGATGTTAGGAAACCACTGGAGCTATGCACTTTTAAATAATCTAGATTGAAAATTTCATTGTTTAGAACTGCTTTTTGTGTTTAGTTTGTTGTCCTTCCCCCGCACCTAACGATTAGCACGTTTGGCAATGTACGGTGCGAAAGAAGTTTAACATACATACACACAAAGTGTCAGCTGACTGGGCAACAGTAGCACAGTGATGGTCTTCCAAAAACCATGTCATGGTGTTTCCCTCCTTTCCTGCATTCACAACCTGCTCCTGACCCGGGGTCAACTTCGCTGAGTCCGTCTGCCTTCGCAACATTCGGCTGCCCACCTCTTTAACTTTCGGGACGGTCTCAGTTTTCAACTCGTTGGCCGCATAAACTGCAACACGGCAATGCGGCCACACGTTTCAACTCCCCAAAGTGGTGTCATCGACAAGGCCGAGGGTATCGTACGTGCACTGCGGTAGTCACGTGACACGCAATCAAGGCATTGCGGGAGTTGTGTTCTGTTTGCGTATATGACGGTGAGCACACGTGACTTTGGGCCAGCGTTGACATGTGGTTAAAACCACTGGCCCAACGTTTCACGTTTGCCGGGCTTTTACCCATCCACCTTTAAAAATGCATTTGTAAGTTGAATTTGGTCCAATGGTCTCTGGAGGCAATATATTTTATCCGATAGCACAATGCATTATTTTCTTTTGCATACATCATCGTCTACTTGCTGATTAATCAAGCATACGTAGGGAACAAAGCGAGCTAATATATTGGCGCTTTCAGTATCCTCAGCGTGGACTATAAGTAGCCACAACATCAATGATCTCTTTTATATCCTTTTGGTATTCGGCTCAAAAATATTTGGACCACCCTTGTTCAATACTTGAGAGGTGGACACGAAAATGGAGATTGCACAGATCAAGTCTAACTATACGGTTATCATGGTATTTGTTATAGAGCAGTACAAATATATAGCATAAATCACTTGTCACAATAAAAGTCCACTGTGAAAAAAAATCAAGAGGTGAAAAACTATGGAACGAATAAACGGAAAATGAAATGCGTTCAGACGCACACAGCACTCGCAAATTGTCTGTTGGCATGAATACCGTGACATGTGGCTCTGTAAACTCATCGTGCAGTGGCAAAGGCGACCTTTGACACTAATTTTGGACCGCACAAACTTTTCCAACCACTTTTCTTGAGTGGACATTCGGCGCACACAAACGTGAATTAATTTCCAGGGCTCTTACCAGTTTCTATGAGCTGCCGCATGTGTGTGGGTGGCCGGGTGACTCGTGGTGCTAAATTGCTTTTGTTCAATTCAGGGACATTGAGCCGGCACTTCTGAAATGATGGTAGAAAGTTGTTTTCGATATATGTGCCCCTGCCATGGGAATGTGGAATTTTCAACCATCGGATCAAGTCTATTGTTGTGGAATGAGCAGCTTTACGAAATTAGAGGGAGATTGGAGCGTTTATATACACATCGACGAACACGAGCCGTTGGCAGACAATACCATACATCAAGTCCAGTTGGAAGTTATTGGAGTGCCAGCATGGAGACATTGGGAAGCCAAATACCGTTGCCTATTTTTCATTCTGATGTAGCAGGGCTGACTCCAACAATGGAATGAACTTTGCTCCAAGTCAGATGCCTTTACCAATATTGGTTTGCAACGTACCTCTATTCCCTCTAACCGGCAGAAGACAAAAAAAAACACTTTCACCCCATGTGTTACATTTAATTGTGGTCGACAAAGGTCACACAGAGACTCATTTGGTTAAAACCCCTCTCGCTCTCTATCGATCATGTATTTCATGAAGTCTCTTGCTTTTTAATTTTGTACATGTGTTCATATGAGCACACACCGGAAAACTTGATTTGTGGCATTGGAAATTTGTGTTGGGGGTGACAATTGTTGTTTATTTTATAATAATTTAAATGGGTTTGTTTTATTTACAATGAATGTGACAAAGCAAATGGAAGATCTTTATTTAACGTTGAATATTGTAATATATTGTATTTATTTATATTTATTTGGTGATGTCTCTTAAGAATATAATGGGGTTTTCTCCTGCCAGATAGGTCATACACAGTCACTCATAATTGGCCTTGGACCGAGTGAGAATCATTAAAAAACACGTCCTCTATTATTATTATGTTTTAAGACTTCATTTTTAGCATGGTGGTAAAAACAAGTATGATCCACTTTTTAAATTGCCTGTTTCGGCCTAGTGCTGTTAGCGAGTGCTTTTACCCGAAGTGTTATGGTGACACTTCGCAACAGATGTGCACAGATATGTATTCCATCCCATGACAAGACAAAGCCCCCCGTGTAGCCTTAACAGGCCGTGGGGTCAAGTGCTGTTAGCGAAGGCCGTCACGGCA